AAAGTTGTGAAGTGTTTATGTGCTCCGGTTCTTGACGAAATCCCCGTTTTCATTTGAGGTTGGCAGATGTTTGTTCTGTGGCTGTGATACCCCCTGGATTGTTTCTCCCTAAAGCCATTTCATTTAATCTCCCTCCATTATGCAGTTTTATTCCACAGATGTTTTCAAAACTGTCATGTGTGTTTGATTTATATGAACTACTTTCCTTTCCAGACCTTTTCTCTTCCATATTGAAATTGAGCTTGTCCATTTTATTTTATTACTTATATTTTGGTATATTTTCATCTCTTCATTGTTTTGATTGTGTGATGTGATGTTGTGAATACTGTTATAAGCAGAGAGGGGAATTATTGTATCAGTAAAATGATCATTGACTAAACCATCGTAATCCTTTTTGATAGAAGCAGACACTCTGCCTTCTGAATATTCTGCTGAATTTTGCTAATATATGGTACAAGTGCTTTTTTTCCCCTGTAGCAAGGGGTAGTACTACTTGCCACTTAACTATCCTTTTACGGAGTACAGCTTTGCTTTAGAATGTCTTTTTATTGTAAAGCAAGGGCTAAAGAGACCTAGAGTCAAGTGCAGAAACAGAATGCCTTTCCACTCATACCAATGGAGTTGTGACCACCTAATTCAGGGTGGAGCTCTTCCTCTGGACTCACCATTACTAGTCACAGCCTCAGGAAGACTTTGAGGTCCAAATTGCTGGACACCAGTAAAATACTGTGGGGCAATAATACTCATCATCCTGTCCTCATGCTTTTCTCTACGTTTCTGTGGCCACAGAGAGACAATTTTGTATGAGATGGATCTGTGATTTGCATAGCTCTTAGTCTTATGAGAGATTATAAATTAAGAAATATAGGGTTGGAAGGAAAATCTGTAGTGGAAAAAGTTCCCTTTTGGTCTAGCATAAGAGCTAGGTAAGAAGATTCAGATCTTTTTGTGGCTTTTCTAAGCTTAAATGGGTCTTTAAGAGATGACAGTTCTGTAATGGATCTTGGTGTGATGACTGTCAACATGGTTACACCATTGATGTTAAGATATTAAAAACAGTTGCCCCTGAATACAAGGGAAAGGTGGCTGCTCGAATTAACCTGTTACAGAATCACAGAATCACTAGGTTGGAAAGGACCTTCAAGATCATCAAGTCCAACCATTAATCCAGCGCCACCATGTCCCCTAAACCATGTCCTGAAGCGCCACATCCACACGTTTTTTAAACACTTCCAGAGATGGCGACTCCACCACCTCCCTGGGCAGCCTGTTCCAATGCCTGACCACTCTCTCAGTGAAGAAATTTTTCCTAATATCCAATCTAAACCTCCCCTGGCGCAACTTGAGGCCATTTCCTCTTGTCCTGTCGCTGGTTACCTGGGAGAAGAGGCCAACACCCTCGTCGCCACAACCCCCTTTCAGGTAGTTGTAGAGAGCGATAAGGTCTCCTCTTCTCCAGACTGAACAACCCCAGTTCCCTCAGCCGCTCCTCATAAGACTTGTTCTCCAGACCCCTCACCAGCTTCGTTGCCCTTCTCTGGAGCCTTTCCTTTAGCCCACAGTCTTCTGTGTTTCCCCTGTGAAAAAGGCTGATGGAACAAGCCATGGGCAAGATAAATTTTCGTGGTGAGCCAGGAAGCTTCAGCCTAAAGGTTGGATGCTTTTATTGAATAAAGTTGATCTTGCCATATAATATCCATTTTACTGGATAGCTGTGCTGCTGGTCAGAGTAGTTTTATGATGAGTCAGGAGAAGAAAGGGATCAGGAGAGAGCTATTGAAAATTGTGCCTTTAGTGAGCTATTGGACTTCAGAAGTATATCAACAGAGCAGTGGTAGCTCCAGGCCATCATTTGCAAATTTTTCCTATTATTTGTTTTTTTTTGCAAGGCTTACCAGATCTGCCCAACCTAAACAGCATATTTTGTGGTGAAGGGTAAGTCACTCACAGGCAAAATTTCCTATTTAGTATTTTAGACATTTGAATTTGTAACCCCAAACTTTGAAGAGCAATATTACCTTCTCTGCCTATTCTTTCCAGCCGTTAGTTATGTTCAGTCATAGCCAACCTTCTAAGCCTCTTGCTTATGTCATTTACAATAAATATGCTTTATAAGTGCAAATGTCATGACTTCATGATACTTGTCCCATTTCGTCTTCCCTCTTTCTGATTCAAAGTGATGCAGATACTTCTGTAGCAGAATGGAGAATGTGGATCAGAGTTTGACCACACATTTTATTATATGTCCTCTCTAACTTTCTCATTTGAGCCTGCATGCATTTTGTGGCCTCTATGGGTTACTATAATAAATGTGAATGATAAAGGAGTAAGGAGGTGGCATTACTCCTTTACTGCTTTTGCTTATTTTGAAAACATGACTTCTACACCAGAACACCTTTGCTTGTTTCTTCTGGTCCTGTTGTGCCACATCCCCCTCCCACCTCCCCCCCTTTAAGGGATACCTTAGGAAGCTTTCATGTTTGATTTTTTAATGTAATTATTGCTCTGTAATTAAAATGGATGTAATTACAGTCAGCTCTCTGATATCTGTGGGTGATTTATCTAAGTTGTGAGCAGCAAGACTCTCCATCCTCTCTACCAGAGTCTCAGCTTTACACGAGTTTCTACTGGGAACGCCATCAAGCCTAACCAGTAGACAGTCAGCTCTGTAGATATCCCATGTCTCTTCTCAACCGTATCATTGTGAATGAATATAATTCTAGGAAGCCCTTTTTTTTAAGCTGTTCATATGCACGTACATACACACACTTGCAAGTATCTGCATGCATGTGTGCAGGATGAAGAGTAAGTACCTGCTCATGTTTATCATAAAACTGCCCTTTTTGTGTGTTGCTGTGATTACCTAGGAGTACAGTGACACACACGGGTTACATGAACCACTGGATTTGTGGGTGCCTGAGTAAAATGCTGACACACAATAATTTTACACCGTTTTTCACCAGTTTTTATTTAGAATATACTGTAAGACACAAAGGCAGACAACATGATTTGGTAATGAGACGTAGATTCCTTCAGTAGTTCAAATGTGGATGAACTCAATAGTAACCAAAATGAGGTGGATTTGGCATTATCTAATCCATTTTGCAGTGGACAAAAAGGTTGCTTCAGAAAGTACAGGAGCTGATTCTGTGTAAGCTGCCATCCTTCTCATGAATTTTCCTGTAGAGGAGCGTAGACTAGAACTTGTGATATCCATTAAGGATTCAGAGAAAGAGGAAATTAAGACTGCATATTTCTGTAATGCTCAGATGCAGATCATATTGCTTCTGTCAGTGCTTGTCAGCAAGTCTAGAGTGCATAAATGCAAACTGCTGTTGTGCAGAATGTGAAAATGAGGTTAGAGAAATGGTAGCAGATAATAACCATGAAAGCTTAATCCTAAATAATTCAATTTGCATTGAACTAAACTATTCTTGTAGAAAGAAAGAAATGTCACTAAAAACATTTAGGGCTAGCCATGTAAAGTGTCGATCTTTAAAACTTACGTAGTCCATCTCATCATAATTCACCATCTTTCTTCACAGTTCTTACATAATAAAGGTCCCTACACATTTACCATATCCATACGTTTTATCCTTCTTACAGTCTCACTAATACAAACAGTAACTCTGACTTCATCAACAGTCATGTGATTATTACACCTGCCTGTATTGTTTGCCCGATGGTAAGAAAAGGGCTGGTTGTTTAAAAAAAAAGACAAGACTTGTGTTCTGTTTTTTTTGCAAAATATATTGTGGTGTTTTGTTTCAAAAATGGTTTCCTTTGTGCATACACATGATTTAAAAAATGGCTTAATTTAAAATATGTTTACTTTTAAAGAACTTATGTTATTACTTGCATGTCATGACTGTTGGGATGCTTTGTAGGCAATGATTTGGAAGTAGCCTTCTGAGTTTATTCATGTAACTCTTGGATTCATAAAGGGGCATTTGATTATGCTACACAGATTCTGTGCTTGCTAGGTCTGTTAGAAGTTAGTTTAACAATTTTATTTTTGAGATCAAGCATCAAAGAGATAATTATTCGATTCTCCTTTCTTTAGAGATACTAGAACATCTATAACAGTGGTGAAAATGTGTTGTAGATGTAGAGAAAAATCATATCTTTTTAATCTTTATTATTAAAGGGTTCTGTGACTTTTACATAGCCCTGATACTGGGTGTGAGAACTGGGTGTTTCCCTTTATGGCTTAATTTGATCCAGCCTGAGGTATTTGCAAGCCTCCCAGCATAGTATCCATAAATGATAATGATAATGATGATGATAATGATAATGATAATAAACCCCCCATTGTTTATTTTTCTGGTTTTTTTTTTGTTTTGTTTTTTTAAGAAAATTAAAATTGCTTCTCCTCTTTGTAGATACACTATAAGGAAGAATTTAAAAAATCTAAAGGCAAGTGCATATTTGTACCTGACACCCCGCAACTAAAACATGTGAAAAGTCTCAGTGCTTTTATTTCTGAGGTAAGACCTATAAGACTGAAGAATTCTCTTTGCTTCTTATCCTTCCTAAAAACTCTCTCAGTTGAATATGATGGTTTTTAGCACGGAAAGGATAGCTTATTTCAAATAACAGTTCTGTTTAAAGCTGAAGTGACTTAAAGCGCTGTAGTTAGTGTATACTCTATATGTGAGTAATTGGAATTACGCAACGCTTTTATTTTGGGATTCCAAGATATTTTATTAATGGTTCTAAGGCAATCCTAGCTATCCCATTTTAGGGATGGATAAACTGAGGAATAGGAAAAGGATTTCTTGTTACATATCGTGCAGCGATGAGGTTTGCAAATTATACCTGTGCATAGTTTCCCTGCTGTGGAGAATTCACAGCCTGATAGCAAACAGAAGGAGACAAGGAAACTGTTATCATGTTATCACCTCCATTCTCCTTCAGCAAGGGGACTGGGGCAAACATCAGGTCAATGCCATCTGCAGGTCGCCTGAGTGCTTGCATGCATATATATGCATACCCATGCCACAGTTTTTAGGTCTTTGCATACACAAAGTCACACAAAAACTGTAGTGGCAAAGGCAGAATGTCAGCTTCCAACATGCCAGAACAGTTTACTGCCAGCTCTTCATGTCCCAGGTACAAGGTGTTGTAAGATGGCATCTCAGTTTTTCACAGGTGAGAACAGCTGCAGAGGAGTTTTACCTGACAGAGAGTTGCTTTTGTTAAGGCACTGCTGGTTCTGAGTGATTTTTCTGTCGCTGTGACCCTTGGAAGACTTAAATTTTTGGTGCCTCATTTCTTGTGCTACCTTTAAGATTATGATAAACAACATCTCCATATCCCTGTCTGGAGTTATGTAATTTATACACATTCTATTTTCCATTTCTGATATACATCAGTTTGCTGTGTGGCTACATTCAATATAAATGCATCTGATGAATAGTTTTGTTATATTTATCTTCATATTTTCTGAGAAAGAGTGGCATGTCCCAAGGGGCATAAAATGTGATGAAATTATACTTTCTAAGAGACAGGCTAGTGTAGTCTACAAAAGCACAATACAGAGAGAGTATTTATTGAATCCATCTGTCTGATTCCAAAGAAAAGCTGCTAATTATTAGTCAAAGATTTAGAGATATAAAGATATTTCAAAATTTTAAAACCCACATGTTTTATGTTATCAAACTGTTGAGCATTCTGTCTGCTTATTGCAGCATTACCTGAAGCCAATGATGTGATGGATGGTTTATCTTGTAAATTACTGACCTCTAGTGTCCCATAACCTGTTTTTGCAAAACTTGAACACTGAAATTCTTAACAGCATGTCTGCTGCAGTGAAAAAGAGCCCTCTCTGCTCTTTCGGGAAACAGCAACAAATGTTACAGCAAATTATTGATATATATCATACATATGGGGTACTACTTTCTAATGAACAGCTGTATATTCAACAGTAAATTAATGACATTAGGCAGTATCATAGAATCATAGAATGGTTTGGGGTAGAAGGGACCTTAAAGATCACCTAGTCCAACCCCTCTGCCATGGGCAGGGACACCTTCCGCTAGACCAGGTTGCTCAAAGCCCCATCCAACCTTGCCTTGGAACACATACAGGGATTGGGGCATCCGCAACTTCTCTGGGCAACTTGTTCCAGTGCTTCACCACCCTCATGGTGAAGAATTTCTTCCTTGTGTCTGATTTAAATCTACCCTCTTTCAGTTTAAAGCCATTACCCTTTGTCCTGTCACTTACATGCCCTTGTAAAAAGTCCCTCTCCAGCTTTTAGGCCTCCTTCAGGTACTGGAAAGCTGCAATAAGGTCTCCCTGGAGCCGCCTTTTCTCCAGGCTGAACAACCCCAACTGTCTCAGCCTGTCTTCGTAGGAGAGGTACTCCAGCCTTCTGATGATTTTTGTGGTCCTTCTCTGGACTTGCTGCAACAGGTCCATGTTCTTATGTTGGGGGTCTCGGAGCTGTATGCAGTACTCCAGGTGGGGTCTCACGAGAGCAGACTGGAGGGGGAGAATCACCTCCCTTGACCTGCTGGCCATGCTTCTTTTGTTGTAGCCCAGGATGTGGTTGGGCTTTTGGGCTGCAAGCCTATATTGCTAGGTCATGTTGAGCTTCTCATCAACCAAGGCCCCCAAGTCATTCTCTTCAGGGCTGCTGTCAATCCATTCTCTTCCCAGCCTGTATTTGTGCCTGGGATTGCCCCGACCCAGGTGCAGGACCTGGGTCACACTTGGTCTTGTTGAACCCCATGTCGGTTCACGTAGGTCCACCTCTCAAGCCTGTCAAGGTCCCTCTGGATGGCATCCCTTCCCCTCAGTGTGTCGATTGCACCACTCAGCTTGGTATCATCTGCAAACTTGCTGAGGATGCATTCAATCACACTGTCTACCTTGCCGACAAAGATGTTAAACAGCACTGTTCCCAATACTGACCCTTGAGGAAAGCCACTCGTCACTGGTCTCCACTTGGACTTCAAGCCATTGACCGCAACTACTTGAGTGTGACCATCCAGGCAATTCCTGGAGTGATCCATCCATCAGATCCATGTCTCTCCAATTTAGAGATGAGGTTGTCTTGCAGGCCAGTGTCTTTGCACAAATCCAGGTAGATGACATCAGTCACTCTTCCCTTATGCACCAATGCTATAAGCCTATTGTAGAAGGCCACCTGTCGTGGTTTAGCCCCAGCCAGCAACTAAGCACCATGCAGCCGCTCGCTCACTCCCCCCTTCCCCAGTGGGACGTAGGGAAAATTAGGAAAAAAACTCGTGGGTTGAGATAAAAACAGTTTACTAGGACAGCAAGAGAGAAAGAAACAACAATGATAACAACGATAATAATACCGACAAAGGAATGTACAAGAACAAGTGATGCCCAATACAGCAATTGCTCACCACCTGGTGATCGATAGCCTGTCCCTGAGCAGCGATTTCTGCCTCCTGGCTGACTCCAGTTTATGTACTGGGCATGACGTTGTATGGTAGGGAATATCCCTTTGGCCAGCCTGGGTCAGCTGTCCTGGCTGTGTCCCCTCCCAGCTCCCCATGCATCCCCAGCCTGCTCGCTGGCAGGGCAGCATGAGAAGCTGGACTGTCCTTGACTACTTAGCAACAACTGAAAACATCAGCACATTATCAACATTTTCTCATCCCAAATCCAAAACACATCCTCACACTAGCTTCTGTGAAGAAAACCAGCTCTATCCTGGCTGAAACCAGGACACCATCAAATTTGTCAGGCATAATTTGCCCTTAGTGAAGCCGTGTTGGCTGTCACCAATCACATACTTACTTTCCATGTGCTTTAGCATAGCTTCCAGGAGGGTCTACTCCATGATCTTGCTGGGCACAGAGGTGAGACTCTGTGGCCTGTAGATCCCTGTGTCTTCCTTTATTGCCTTTTTCAAAATGGGAGTTGTGTTTCCCCTTTTCCAGCCAGTAGAAACTTCACTGACTTCTCAGATATAATGGGTAGTGGCTTAGCAACTTATCTGCCAGTTCCCTCAGGACCTGCTGGTGCATCTCATCAGGTCCTGTGGACTTGTGCACCTTCAGGTAACTTAGATGTTCTCGGACCTGATCTCTCCTACAGTGGGTGGTTCTTCATTCTCCCAGTCCCTGCCTCTGCCTTCTGTGGCTTGGGTGGTGTGACTTGAGCACTTGCTGGTGAAGACTGAGGCAAAAATGTCATTGAGTACCTCAGTCTTCTCCATATCCGGGGTAACCACATCTCCTGTTTCCTTCTGGAGAGGGCCCACATTTTCCTTAGTCTTCCTTTTATCACTGATGTACCTACAGAAGCTTTTCTTGTTGCCCTTGATGTCCCTGGCCAGATTTAATTCTGTGAGGGCTTTAGCTTTCCTAACCTGATCCCTGGCTGCTTGGACAATTTCTCTGTATTCCTCCCAGGCTGCCTGTCCTTGCTTCCACCCTCTGTAGGCATCCTTTTTGTGTTTGAGTTTGTCCAGGAGCAATTTGTTCCTCCATGCAGGCTTCCTGGTGTTCTTGTCTGACTTCCTCTTTGTTGGGATGCATCGCTTCTGAGCTTGGAGGAGGTGATCTATGTATTAGTAACCAGCTTTCTTGTGTCCCTCTTCCCTCTAGGGCTTTGTGAACATAAGGCTGCTCCTATCTGTCTATAGAGTGCCTCATCTGCTTGGTCTTCCTGATCGGGTGGCCTGTAGAAGACTGCCACTATAGTGTCACCTGTCCCCGCCCTCCCTTTAAACCTGACCCATAAGCTCTCGGTCAGCTCCTCCTCCAGCCCTGGGATTTAAGATATCTTTGATATTTATGATTACTTTCATAGTAATACTTGACATTATTGTTTTATGAATTTGAAAAACTTAAATGTGAAGAAAAAGCCTCCCAGATATTGAACTATTATTCTGGCCCGTCTCATAAAACCCTTTTGTGAGCAATTGCTAGTACTGAACACTGGAGAAAGTACAGGATAAATAAAAAATAGTTTAAGAAATGAATCTGTAATATGAAAAGATTAAGTAGAAAAGATGGCAGACATCAACTTCAGTGTTGCTGTCCTTTCCAGTTACATTTAATTGCTACTACTTATTAATTGGTAAAATATTTTTTGTTGGCCTCTCATTGCTCCCATTATGCAAAACTTGGGAAAATGGAAAGAAGAAAGGTAATCTTGTTTTTCAGAAATTATCTGTGAAAGGACAGAAAAATAACTGCCATGCCTACTTTATTTTAGACTTCCCCTACAAGTATCTCCACAAAGGAGATACTTTGCATTGCCTTGTGAATTAGGCACCTCCACATAAAATATTTTGAAGTTATTATTTAAAGATCTGGTTTTGCTTGAAAGTTCATGACATTAGATTTTTCCAGTTCTAATGGTCTATGCCATTTTATTTAATAAACTATAGTATGATTACTATATCTTCATTTTTGCATTGTATGTCACCTTTTTCTCCCCTCTAGGTGAAGTATAAAGGAGCTGCTAAGAAAGACCTTTCCAACTCTCTTTATCAGCAGATGCCAGCCACAATTGACAGTGTATTTGCAAAAGAATTAATGCAACTTCAGAGCAAGGTACAATTTTAGAATCACAAAAATGATTTTTAGATGAATTGTGTGACAGATATGACCAATTTGAACAATGTATGTGAACGGGCACTTGATTGCCTGCTTGATTTATTTGGGTGAGTTTATCATCCAGAGTTTATCACCATAACTTCCAAACTACTCGCTTCTAAAACATGGAGAATCTTACTTGTTATGTTTACTAAATGTAAATTTAAAAACTGCTAGTGCATTCATCAATCCAATGAAATCCATTAGAAATCCATGAATGCAATAAGGAATTAATGAATTCAGTGACACTACACTCTGTTTATAGGATAGATGAATCTTATACAACAACCATTTCAATTTGGGTGTTGTATTAGCTTTATAAAATGTTTGATGCTGAAGGAAAAAATAATAAAGTACTTTAATGACATTTAAAGGCACTTACTGGTAGCAGTAAATGTATTTCTGATGGTCTACATACTACCACTCACAACAAATTTTATGGAATTAAAAATATGAAAATAAGTATATTGAACATAGTGTAAAACATGCGAACCAGTAAAATAGTAAATTCTAGTTCAGTTGCCTCCAGGGACGTAAAGATATAATACCATTAATGTAGACAGGTAGCCCTTCACTTCCATTGATCTCAGTGGAATTGTGAGTGTTAAGTATATGTAATATGAATTAAGTTACAGATTTTTATTGTTATTTATGAGAATGACAGCTGATAAGACACTCATGGCTTTCTGTCTGCCAAACATTTCCACATTTTTCTTGTTTTGCCCTTCTGCTCTCTTAAGGATATTGACTACGCATAGTTTCATACAGCCCATCTGTGAAGAAACTCCTAAATCCATATTATTCATTGTATCTCAATATGCATTCTTCTAATGCAGTGATTTTTTTCAAACAAAGGAAAATATTTGTAACAAAAGAAAGCACTGAAATCTCAGGATAGCTTGTGGAGAAATGTTTTGATTTAAAACAATGTGTTAAGGTTATATTAAGCAAAAACATAAAATATGTTTTAGTTTTCATAGTTTGCAATGGAACACTTATACACTCAAGTTAAAGCAGCACAGTAGCTGAAATGACATTAATGTGACATTTCATTGTAAAGTGAGTGATTAGAAAAATTACAGTAGAAATAAATTGGGAATTAAACTTGTATAACATTTTTAAACTGTTAGCTTGATTTATAAAGCATTAGTTAACTAGTTTGCCACAGATTTACTCCTGGATTCATTCCAAATGAGTACATTCTACATTAGTTTACGCAAATGAGGTTAATTAACATCAGTGATGTGGCAGAAAAGATAAATAACTGAGACTAAAAATGAAGACATTTGATTCATTAAAAAAACCCTTTTAAGGAAAAGGCTGACATTTTTATTTGATATTTTTGAAAGTTTTCTTCAATCATCCAACAGTCATAGAGAAACAATTATGCATATAGGATGAGTTATATTTAAGCAGAAACTTTTCCTGTAAAATTCATACCATCCCCTTAGGAATAGATGCATTATAAATCATAACTTACCATAAAACTTAAAGATACGCTGACACATTTTTCCAACTTGTGGTTACTGTTGCAGCGGACCTGAATTTAATGCTACTTTGAGAGAGATCCTAGGGGATTTTCTAGTGGAAAATCTTCTCTACAGTATTCAAATCTAATCCATATTGTGCCTATCACTGCGGTACCTAAGTAGCTAATACACGGATTTCAGATTTCAACTGGGTCAGGATATGGCCGAGAGGATTTCTGCTGCATCTGTCTAGCTGGGATGGTGAATTTACAGGTCATCGCTTCAGCTGGAGGAGACCACGGGTGTGCCCATAGGAAGGAGAGAGAACAGCACCGTCTCGCCATTGTGCCACCTCTCTTGCAAAAAGGCTGTCGCAGGCGCAGAACTGCAGCCTGTTTCTCAATTATAGTAAGCTGATTTTAAATAGGTGCTGATTTTTGGAAAGGTGGAAAATACGAGTACGTGTCCTTCCCATCCACGTTAGAACAAATTTACACCTTTGACTTCCTTTTCGTGCTTCTGGGATGCAAGGCCGGGCTTGAATGCTTTTGTCGCCAGGCCAAGCAGGTGCTTTCTCGCGCTGCGGTGCCGTGTTCTTGGCAGGATCCGTAGCCTCGTCTGCCAGGCAGGTGTTGGGACTAGGGGATCATGGTGTGGAAGAAAGAGAGCCACTGGCTCTCCCCACTACTGCCTGCTGGCACAGGAATGCTGAGGCTGGTATGCCTCCGCCGGGTGATCTCCTTCCACTGGTTTGTCTCTGGCAAATGGCGTCTCCCGTGATTTGATGTTTCCTCCTGAAATGGTGCTGCTGCACTGCTGCTGCCCAGCAACTTCGTTTTCAGCCTACCTCGATCTAGCCCAGTTAATTAATTTTATACATGGTTTCAGATCACACTCGTGGTTTAGGAACTTGGAGGCAACTAGGGGAAGTTTCCTTTTTCTTTCAAGAAATTGTTCACCACCTACAAGCTGCCTTTCTCTGTCCTCTCCTGAGCAAACGGGCTGCCATACCACCATCTTTCACTTTTGCATGCTCTAACCGGTGCAGAAATTGTCATTGACTTCTACAGGGTTCCAGCCGTTCAGTGTCAGCACTGACAGGATCTTGCCATAATGGAGAGTACAAGACCCTGACAGTTGTGGTTCTCCTCCCATGCAGCTTTCTCCCCATATTGGCTGTATTGATTTATGCTCAATTCCCTCTTCGTGATACAGAGGAAAGACTAAACCAAGACCAGCTCTGCTGGCTTTTGCGTAAAGCCCACATTTGCTCTTTTCTGTTTTATGCGGAACTGACACGAAGATGGAAATAAATACCCGTAGAGAAGGAAATCCATCTGAAATTTTGACAAAAAATCATGACACTATTTATGGGAAAAAATGCTTCAGGAGAGTAAAAAAGAAGTTTCATAGCCTCACATACTTGCTTGGCTTTTATCAATTTAGTTTTTTCCTCTACACATAAAATTTGACTGTCACCTTCTAAATAGCTTTCTTGAGGGTGAAGAACCAGATTTTCCTCCCTCTCTCTCTTTTGTCGTAGCTGTCCCCAGGGTAAGATAGACAGAGCAGGAGAAGTCCCAGTCCCTAACGTGTAACTTCACACTCCTTGCCAGCCTACAAAGCTCTCACCGATTTCCCTGTTCTCTGCAGTGAGAAAATAAAGTTGATGAGAGCAGTCTAGGTGGGGAGCCCTCATTTTGATTTTCCTGAGCAGAAATGGACATTTTCTGGAAAAATTGCCATTTTCCTGTGGAAAATATTTCTGAAGGAAAATTTCTGATCATTACTATCTTTGTGCCAAGTCGTCTTCTTGTCTGAAGACCAGTATACCGCGTTCTTCCTTACGCAGAACATTTTTTTTAATAAGGTGTCACAAACAATGATAAAGGTATTTAAAATTGCTTGAGGGGGAAACAATGTTGGAAAAAAAAAAGTATGCGTTTCATCACTTTTTTCATCACTTTATTTCTGCCATAAGAAGAGATTGCACTGTTTTTCTTCTTATCTGAAAGGAATAATCTAAAGCAAACTGAAGGCAGTTTAATTTTCTCCTTTGCACAGGGCAATATCTCAAATAGTAACTATATGTCAAAGCTCAACAGTATTTTTTCTTTGTTTTTAAAGATCATAGGCCAAGTGAATTGTAAGCAATATTTTCAACTTTCAGAGAAAGTTTCAAAGTTTTTCTTCCTTGTGGGCAAAATCCTTTTACTTTCATATGTTCTTGTTTTTTTTTTTTTACTATGATAAAGCTATTTTTGTGGTTTACTGCATCATTTGCAATTATATTACACATTAACAGACTTTTAAAAATTCCTCATGTTTTTTATAGTATCAAATCTCATGTTCGAGATTTCCTGTTTTTTATGGCAGCAGGTATTAGTGTCCTGGACTTCTCTAGTTTTGTTTTACACAAATACATTGGAAAATCTAATTCTCTATCTAGAGATTAAAATGGCATTTTCTGTGTTCTTGAACATTTCCTCCTACAAAATACTACCTTGTGGATTTTAAGTTTGGAGCTCAGCTTACTGACTATGAAGGGAAATATAAATATAAAAATTTAATAGTGTTTAAAGTGTTCCAAAACAGAGGGTCAGTCAGAGTTAAGTTAAAAGAGCACAAAGCCTTCCTTAATGCAGCTTCCTATTGACACACTGGTGTACAAGAGAGATAAGAAAAATAAAAAATGAGTACTTAAAAATTAGTTCAATGTGAAGTCATACCTACTTAAATAATTGCCTTGTATTTCTGGAGTTAATAAATGGTGCCACTACAGAGTAGAGGTTACATCAGTGACCTGTAATACTTGATCTCTCTGTAGAGTAGTTTCATATGTAGATTTGAGAAAGCAAATTCAGTTTCGCTGAAATTTGAAAATTAACATAAAATGAGAAATAATTGTACACATGCTAACATGTAAAATAACGGTTCTAAGCATCTTGATGAAATAATCATCGTAAATGTTTTTTCATGCTTCCTTGGAACTGATTTACAGATCTGGCAATAGTTCTGCACTGAACTGCTGAAAACTAAACTAGACAGCTATTGACCTCCTCCCAGCCTGTGATTGCTTCAAGGTTACTTAAGTCAGTTGATAAGACTAATGTGAAAAGATAGGAAGAACATAGCTGTCAAATAGCAAGTCAAATATTCCTACATTAAGCTAAAGAAAGTCATCTTTTCCCAAGATAGTGAACACTCAATTGTAATTTCTGCTAGTTTTCTCACGTTGGGTGATGTGCTGCCTTAAATACAAACAGATACATTTTCTCACAGTTTTAGTATTCTGTCCTAAAAGATTCTAAGTCAAGAGTTCCCGTCTCAGAACTTTCACAGTATTCTTTTATTGCTATCAAGGGTTTTAGTTTCAAATCCTCTTCCTGGTCAGCTTTCGATCTTATTTAGTATTTGCTGTTTTCTTGGGGATTATTTTAATGCTTGCTCCTGAGAGCTAATAGAAAATGAATTTACTTGATGCTTGCTGCTTCTTCAGGCATCAAAACCTGGTGAATTTTCTTAATGTAAGCCTAAAAGGTTCTGACAAGGATAAGTGCAAGATCAGCTTTTCAGGCGGTTTTAGTATGTGAGTGTGTGTATATGTAAGTATAACATATTACAGTGAAAGCTGGATGAATGCCCAACATTGAGCTCAGTTTCTATTAGAAATATAAGTTTGTTTATAAACTCACAATCCAATGCCATTTTCCTTTACCATGATGACAATTGAATGTAAATATTATTTTTCTTTGTGAAACTGAGGGCTAGTCAAAATGTATATTGTGCTAGCAATTTCCTAACAGTGGAAGAAATAGGTGTTTGACTATGAGCATTTCATATAAACCTTTTTATTTATGAGGAATGCACAAAACCTTTTCTTTCTTTTCTGAAAACAGGAGGGGGAAAAAAAAAAGAAACCTGAGGAAATATTTACATAGCTGATAGATTCAAGTGTGTTTTGAGCAAAAAAACCTTTCCCTTATGCTTTTCCCTGGGCTGTCTTCTCACCTTGTTAAGGTTAATTTTCTGTTTCTGTATATTTCTTTTTCTTCCCTCTGCTGCAATAACAGACTCAGAGAAATCTCTCTGTTGGCTGTGCCTAATATGCCTCTGTTTTGGGTAGAAGCTGGTCTTGTTTCAGGTTTTTGGTTCCATTAAGGAGCTTAATTATTTACTACACTTCTACCTGAATGCAGGTGCACTATGATGCCGGGTTTAACCCAGCTCATATTATTATACCCGCTTTGCTGAGGTCACTAAAGTATAATGTTGCTCTTTTCAGGTTCTCTATAAACAAAAACATGATGCTGAGAAAGGAACTTCAGATTATGCACATATGAAGGAACCTCCAGATGTTAAGCATGCCATGGAAGTCAATAAATACCAGAGTGATGTAAGTACTCCTCCATCTGAAATGATTTCACTTGTTTTGGGTAGATACCTCTCTTACAGCTAACTGAAATGAATTGGGCATGGAATATTTTCATATTTCATTAGTTGGTATTTTTTACATTATTTGCTCTGAAGTAATTTGGGTCACGATGTGTGTTTAAAATATGCTATGAGTAATGGTATGTGACTTTTATTCTAAAGTGCATTGGAAAGCGCTTGTTATTGTTTCTTGGTAGTAACTGTTATTAAGTGCTATCAGTCTGAAATAAAATTACAAAGACAGGTTCTCTGAATTAATGTGTACCTACTCGTACTTTAAAAGTGTATAAAGCTCTTTGTTTACATAAACAGCAGCCTGGTACCAGTGTCTTACACTGTCAACATTTGGGTAGTTTTTCAAGGGTTCTGTTTAGAGGAAAGAAGGGGACTGTTTCTGCCCTGCTCTTGTACGCTTTTATGCACATGAAAAACTTTTTTCCCATCTCATGAGTATGTATTAAATGAGGTCCAAAGAACAATTTATGACTTATTTTACAGAATCTGAGCCATAGAGTTCAATTTGATGCCTGGCACTAGTCTATGCCATTGACCAAAGTATTTGTTCTTGTAATTTTACTTAAATAATTTACAAATAAATTAGAGTACTTAGCAGTATTTATGAAGTTTTTTTTTTTTCTTTTTAATGGCTGCTTGAAGTTCTTTAGGTTTTCACAACATAAAAAGCCTAATAATAGTATTTACATTTTTTTATTAGTTTCAAGTCAGGTTTGATTTAATGGTTGACCTAGCTTATACTAGCTCAATGCACCATTTCTAGGGGTGGAAATGCAACCAAGATTAGTGTGCCTTGAATTATACAAAGACAACTTTGAGGAAAAATGTGTTAGGTTTTGTAAAAGCTTACTTATGAGAAAAGTAAATTTTAGGAGAGGATTGGCTGAAATAGTGAGGTCATTTAAAATGGTACACAAAACCTGTAAGAGCAGCTGACATGTAGATACCTTTAAAGTTATGATCCATTTCCATTATTCTTAGGTAAGCAAGTCAAGTCAGGTAGGTATGTGATTTTATAACTCTCTTTTCTCAGATAAACGGGATATTTGTTTGCTGCTACCAATACAGAAAATGAAGCTTGGTTGTTCAGTTTGAATTAACTTAAATTTACCGTGTCTTCTCTACTGACAGTGTAACAAACAATCAGGTTATGTAGGCTGAAAGCTAAATGTCAGTGTTAGATGTATGTGCAGAATCTTGGCAGCTGGCCGCTGATTAAAAGGCTGCTGGAGAACTTCAGGGAAGCATTATGTTTGAAGAATAACTTTTTCTTCTGCTGGGAAATACCTGTGTTGGAAGTCCCAGCAGTAATTTGCAACCTGCCTTGATTACAGAATTCCCTCTTCCTGTCAAACTCCAGCCATCTCTGCTGCTGGATATCAGATTGACATAGCATAGGATCTGGGAACGTGAACTTCTCTCCCCATAAACAGTAGGAATGTTGGTGGACTACTAGGGAAGGAAATAATGTTGAGAAAAGAGATGGGAATCCCTCTCGGAGAAGGTGGTGGGACCAGGAGAAATATGAGATGAGTTTTTGAATGAAATTCATCATGGTCTGAGGATTAGTAAGCTAGTGCAAAACCCATTCCCATTCTACAGCTGTACATCACCTGCTAACAGAATTAAGGAGAGCAGGGTACAGATGTGAGAGTAAATGAAATTCAGTTGTTTCATCTTCTTTCACCCTTAAAGCAAGCAAAAAAAAAAAAGGAAATGAAGGCAAACATAGGAGGGGAGGACGTTTTGATAAATCAGAACTTTCAACAGCATGTTAAAAATACTAAAAAAATATGAAGGAAATTATTTTCAGCCTCAGCAAACTTCAAAAAAATCAAACAAACCCTCCGTATGCAACATAAAACTTTAAGCAGTTAGTTTCATCTGTTTAAGAACAGGTTCTTTCTGGTTGCTCATGGGGAGCTGCAGTGCAATGGGGGCATATCTTTATCACCTATAAAGGAGCAAGTTACGTAAGTCCAGTTATTGTTCAGTGGAGTTACGCAGCTCCCGCGGGTAGCTGTTTGGGCACCATGGTGAATAGCTGTGGCTTTCTTGTTTTGTAAGTCCAGGTTTAATTAAGAGCTGCGTGAGTTTTCATCTTTGAGTCAGAGCATGGAATAGTGAGCATCCCAAATGCAGAGCATTTGTCTTTCCAGACTATTTCAGGCTATTTGTAGAATCACAGCTTTGAAAGCGCAGGGAAAAAAGGAGGGAAACTACTGGGGGAATAGAAGGACAAAGCTCTTTTATCCACCACTCGGTACAGTATACCTATGGGAGCAGAATGCGTGTTTACCTACAATGCTCCGCCAACTCAGTTCAACCTTTACAAGCAGGGTTTGCATCTAATAGGATTAGGATGTGTTTAAGACTATTTACTCAGCCTTAAAATAAGGCTGACATTTATACTCAACTCTGTGAAATGTGCAATTTCCTTTAAAAATTAAGACTGTATTCAACTTACAATACATTTGTGCTGACATTTTGAAACTGTCATATGCTGTAGGCCTTCAGACCACTTTGAATATAACTAACATGCTGTATAAGTGTGGGCTGAAGCTGCATTATAAGGACATACTGTAAAACCTCCTGAACAATGTGATCATGTGTACGAAAAACATTTTTCTTTTCTTCATACTTAGACTGAAGAAAATTGCTCTCAGAAGAACAAATATGGCTTTTTTAATGATAGGGAATTTACTTGAAAAATAATTTAAATACTACATAATGCTTGAACAAACACGTTTATCCAAACCAGAGTGCTTTTCTCCATAAATTGTGTTTCTGTTTTGTGAAGTGAATATTAATGATGTGACTTTGGCACACAAAGGCATTTGGAGAAAAGTGAAGTAGGGGCTCTCAGCTTACTTTATACCTGTGCTTGGCTGATGTCATTTAGCTCATCTGGAAATTTCCAAACTTGGGACCAAAATTAGGTGGTGGCCCTTAGAAACCCGTCAGGCCTCAAAATAGTGGTTCACCTCGTGTGGCTGAAGATCAAATGGATGGAAGAAAGTAATTGAACAGTGAAATGACATGACAATTAAGTTTCTAAAACAGCAAACACTTGCCACATTGTGCCTGGGTAGAAGCTGCACATAGCATTTGATGAAGGTCCTCAAAGCTGTGGATCACAGTTTTGTCTGTTCCATGACCTGGTCTATCACTGGGCGTTATGAATAGCAACACAATGTTAAGTATTTGTATAGCAATTTATATGTTCTGCTTGGTTAAAATTACTGATTCTCCTCACAGCATTACATTACATGAAATAAGGAAGTGGTGTTCTGATTTTACAAATAAGAAAACTACAGTAGTTTTCAGCAAGGGCAAGTCCTGCCTGACCAACCTAGTGGCCTCCTGTGATGGAGCGACTACCTCAGTGGACAAGGGAAGAACTACCAATGTCATCTATCTGGACTTCTGTAAGGCCTTTGACACGGTCACCCACAACATCCTTCTCTCTAAATTGGAGAGATATGGATATGATGGGTGGACTGTTGAGTGGATGAGAAATTGGTTGGACGGTCACATCCAGGGGTAGTGGTCAACAACTCAATGTCCAGATGGAGATCGGTAATGAGTGGTGTTCCTCAGGGGTCCGTATTGGGACCAGTACTGTTTAATATCTTAATCAGTGACATAGACAGTGGGATGGAGTGCACCCTCAGCAAGTTTGCAGATGATGCCGAGATGAGTGGTGTGGTTGACACACCTGAGGGACAGGATGCCATCCCAAGGGACCTGGACAAGTTTGAGGAATGGGCCTGTGTAAACCTCATGAAGTTCAACAAGTTAAAGTTCAGGGTCCTGAATCTGTGTTGGGGTAACCCCTGGTATCAGTGCAAGCTTAGGGTTGAAAGGATTGAGAGTAGCCCCGTTGAGAAGGACTTGGTGTTACTGGTGGATTAAAAGCTGAACATGAACTGGCCATGTGTGCTCACAGCCTGGAAGGCCAACTGTATCCTGGGCTGCATCAAAAGCAGCGTGGCCAGCAGGTTGAGAGAGGTGATTCTGCCCCTCTGCTCTGCTCTGGGGAGACCCCACCTGCAGTATGGTGAGTGTCCAGCTCTGGAGCCTTCAGCACAGGAAAGACATGGCCCTGTTGGAGTGGGTCCAGAGGAGGGCCACAGAAATGATCAGAGGGACGGAACACCTCTCCTGTGAGGATGGGCTGAGAGAGTTGGGGTTGTTCAGCCTGGAGAAGGCTCTGGGGAGACCCTACTGCAGCCTTCTAGTACTTAAAGGGGGCTTATAAGAAAGATGGGGACAGACATTTTAGCAGGGCCTGTTGTAACAGAAGAAAGGGTAATGTTTTTAAACTAAAAGAGTGTAGATTGAGACTAGATCTAAGGAAGGAATTTTTGACAATGAGGGTGGTGAAACACTGGCACAGGTTGCCCAGAGAGGTGGTCGGAGCCCCATCCCTGGAAAAATTCCTGGTCAGGTTGGACGGGGCTCTGAGCAACCTGATCTAATTGAAGATGTCCCTGCTCATTGCAGGGGTGTTGGACTAGATGACCTTAAAAGGTCCCTTCCAACCCGAAGTTTCTGTGATTCTATGGGGATTCTATACAATAGACTCATCTGTGGACATTTAAAAGGCAGATCTGAGGTTGGAGCCCTATTATCTTCTCTCTTATGCTTATGTACAAAACAGTGCTGCTTTTAAATGTTGACAGTTGGGCAAATGTTTGATATATATGTATACTCTTTGCAGTGCATATGATGTCAGTAGTGGTAATTTATAATGTTGCACTGACCATCTAAATTGAAGAAGTCTATATAGTCTTAGAAATAAGCTTGTTTTCATGTTCAGGATATCACGCAGTCACAATACACACACACACACACACACAAAATTTTTTTCTGATAAAATCAAATCAGCAAATCTTAAACTTGGTCTGCTTAAACACCATCAATAACACCATAATGTCGATGTTTGTTTTGATGCAGATCATGTTAAAGTCAAGCTCCTCCTGGCTCTCTGTTCAGCATCTGCATTAGAAAAATCACCTTTCACTGACTTAACTTTCTGCTGACAGTGGTTGTCAACAGCAGGTCCCCCTGGAGCACTTCCAACTGGTGCTGAAAATGATGTGTTTACTCCTGATGTAATTGGGACCAATCAATTTTCAAGCCCATTACTGGAAAGGATGACTGCATCAATCTGTAATGGGCCAGAAATGTGTTTGTCTCTTCTACATGAGCCGGGAAACAGTTTTCAACACCATTTGAGTGGGAATCAGAAAAGCTGTTGCCAATGATGATTGTCACCAGCTAGTCATTTTCTTAGTGTTGATGGACCCCAAAGTGCAGATGAGAGAAAAGGGGGCAGAGACACAGCTGACAGGCCATTAGTTAGTGGACTTGCAGCTCTTAGAAAATACTAAGCAGGGACAAACAAGAAGAGACAAACTCTCTTGCAGACAGGTGTGCCCAGCTCCTTGCTGACTTTCGTGTGTGCATCTCAAGAAGGAAAAATGTGTTCATAGCTGCTTGTGCATACCTTAATAAATTATTACCTATATCTTGGAATAGTTTTGGTATTGGAATAGGGGAGAAGACAAAAAACTGCAGAAAATGTCTGAGTCCTTTAAACCTGGTCGTGCTTGGGTCAACACGTAGCAGAAGTTTCTGTTTGTTGATTGACAACCTGAGATGTTTTGCAGCCTTGTTAGAAATCTGTTTACTTTGCAGCTTTGTAGTGCATTCCAATGCACTGTCACCATCATGAAAGATGAAGCATCTTCAGGACGCTCAGCTGGAGTAAATTGTTTTTTTAAAAATATTCAACAATGTAACCACTTTTTATTGTAATTTCAAATTGGGGTAGAAAAACACTTCAAATTTAGCTAGGATTTGTAATTTGCTATTTGCAACTTCAAAACTAGAGATGGTACAATTTTTTCCCCTTTTTGTCCCAGCTTATTTCTCACTCGCATTTTCCACTGGTCTGCTGTAACTCTCCGTTTAGGTCTTTCACTGGTGCTTTCTCTTAAGTTGTCAGTATCTCGGTTACTTTTTCCTGTTCAAAGGCCAGTTTGTGCAAGTGTTATGTAGACTTGTGGTCCATGAAAACGAGTAATTCTTGAGCCTTTGGTGATGTTTTTTGGTGGAGCCTGTGCAATCTTTTGAAGTGAAGGTTAAGAGCATCGTGTAATGCTTGGAGGTTCCAGTCGGGGTTTGAGCCTCTTGGTAAGGGGCTGAACCAGCTCAGGAGAAAAGACGTCCCCTTCTCTGGGTGCTTCTGCTGTTGCCTTTCTTTTGTTGCTTGGCCAGGCTTCGTTCTCTCTTCTGCCCTGGAGTAGGCTTCTCTACTTTCCAACTTCTTGGTGCCCATGGGTGCGCACATCAAACTGGCTGCTTTGCCCTGTCTACATCTGTTCCCCTGCTCTCCCGGAACAGCTCTGGTTTTACTGTTCTAACGCAGCACTATAAAAAAAATCACTAGATGGAACAGAATAGCAGCTGTGTAATAGAGGCCAGCACACTGTCCCAATGGGAAAGGGTCAGCATCCAGGGATTGAGGTTATTCAGGAAATGGGAAACATATTTTTTCTTTCTTTGGCCTACCTCTGACAAACTACTGTTCTGCTGCATAACATTTTTATTCTCACTGGAGTATGACAAGCTGCAGAATGGAGCAAATATATATTGCAGACATTTGTAAAATGCTAGATGACTTTCCCTCAGACATAAGTAATAGGTGTACTGGTTTAGGTGCAGGAAGAATAATAATTCACTCAGGGAAGGCTATAGCAATTGGCCTTGCATCTAATATAATTGAAAATGGTGAAATATAAAGGACTGTCACTGTCTTATTCCCCCCTCCTTTCCCCCTGAAATTAACCACAATCCGTTATTTCATGTACTATATGATCATGTCATTTGGGAGCAATAAGTGACCACATTTCCTCAACTTTATCACCACTATTCTTGATTCTCTGTTGTTAAATTCACTCCATTCTTAATGTCTATTTTGAGCACATATGCTGGCCTTTAATTTGCAATTTACATGGATGATAGGGTGCTATTCAGAAACCTGTTTCTGCTGCCTTTGTGGTTTTCACCTCACATCATGCGGTCATTAGGATGAACAGCATATAATTAACTAAATTCATGTAAAGACCTGAATTGCAAATGCTTGTCTATACATCTAGTTTCTTAAAAAAATAGTGGAAAACTAAACCTAACCAAAACAAAACTTCCAGTGGTTTTAACAAGTTGTAAGAAACAGTTGCTATGTTCTTGGTAGGTGATACTTTAGGCTGTGTTCACCCAATCTATTTATTTATTTATTTATTTATTTTATCAGTGATTACACTTGTGTATCACTCATTGTAGGTTAAAAATTATATGATCTATTTGTGGGCAAGCAGCCAACAGTGAAGCCTGTTTAGCTTGTCTACTTAGCTGAAGCCATATGGATGCAAAATTACTTTCCTCTTGCATGTAAAATATTTGCCAAAAAGTAAGATTTTTTCTTTTCTTTTTACAATAAAAAATTATACTTCTTCTTGGGTTTATGAGTTTTTTGCATTGTACCCAGAATAAAACTTTACATTGGAAATCGGAGCTAGATGCGGAGGTTATAAGTGAAACTTCAAGCTGAGGACTTCCATGATAGTGAAATACAATCTTGAGAAGTTGACTAAATTTTTAAATTTTAAATTTGAAGTTTAAATTAAATTTATTTATTTTTAAATTAGACAACAGAATAAAATCTAGAAGACTGTCCAGTAAAGCAGGAATTTTTCTGATACTTTCTATTTCCTGTAGACTTCATTTATTTTTTTTAACTTTTGCCTGAAACTTCAATTTCTCAGACACTTTTGAATACCAGGAATGATTTCCTTAATCATTCAGAATAATTCAGTAAGACAGCTCTTGGAAATTGGCTTAGATTGGCACATGTGCTACAGCAAGCGAGAGGAAAAAGTCTGCAAACTCTGGAGAGGGAGAAGAAGGATAACTTGTGGTCTCGGAGCTCTTTAATGTCCCTGAGGTCTATGCTCTTCCTGTGATTGCTTTGCTAAATGGAGAATATTTGGACTCTACTGCCTGTGGTTTAGCCTTCTGGCCAAAGTTTTCGGAGCCCATTCATTATAGTAGCGACTTTTGCACAAACAGAAAGATTCAGTCTTGTATTCCACATGCTGGAACACTCAGCCGTCTTGTTCCCATGATTGTGTAAAGGAGCAGATAAGTGGAGTTGTGGGGAGTGGGGGATGCTGGGGTGAAGTTGTGTCATTGAATTACATACCAGCTACACGGCTGCCTATTACTGAGAAAGACGTTCACCGTGGTAGAATTACAGTTTCTGTTCAGTGTAGCTGCAGTCCGCTAGGCTGCGGTGCTCAGAACCATAGGCGGGGTAGTTTATATTAAAAAAGGGTACAGCAAAGAAAAAAAAGCTGTACTCTTAGAATTCCTCTGAAATTTAATGATAAACCCTAATATTTGGGTCTTTGCAGTGCTTTTCTCTACGCTTCTTAGGAAAACCATTTTTCATTTTAATATTCTATTTTATGGTTTTGAATTTTTTCCTTATCCTGTTAACCTGTGTGTGGTTCTTACTAAATAGCCCCTGTCAAGCAGCACTGTGCTGGGATAAATTAGGCAGAGTTCTACTGAATTTGATGACTGAGTTGATAGGTCATTCAAACACTATTTATAAACTTGAAATGTTTTTGTTTGTTTGTTTTAAACAAAACTGTTTTTTGTTTGACAGGTATCCTATAAGAAAGATGTGCAAGATACTCATAGATACACTGAAGTGCTGAACAGGCCAGACATAAAGATAGCGACTGAGATAACAAAGATAATAAGTGATGTATGTTCTCCTGTTACTCTACCTGTATTTTTTAGACATGTTATTTTATTTATTCCAATTTCAGTCAGATGTTTAGAATGCTGCTGAAATTCTCAAACGTCATGAGCAGAAAACCTGCAACCCCAAATCTGATATGGAGGTTTGATTAAAAAAAACCCAAAGACAACAAACCCCCACCCTTGCCTGGTATGTTACAACATTATGGGTTTCTTCTATTTTGATGTTGACAGTATGACTTTTGCAGTTGTTAGTCATTGATCTAAAGACAACATTAAGCTTACTTAAGTTGGTTTTGTTTCAGCTTTATTCATGATAACCATTCTCAAAATAAGTCATATCCTCGTATGCTATACTGCACTTCAGAAGACATACCAAGCTTTTTTTCACCTCTGTACAAGAGAAGCTTGCACCCCAGGACTCCCCTTCCTCCTCCCGTCTTGGCTGGCAGTGGCAGGGAAATGCAATTCCCTGCTGTCCTGAGAGCTGTGCAAACACACTGCTTCTTGCATGGGGACTCTCCTCCCCAAAATCCCCTCAAATTCTTTTTCCTCCCACCATGACATCTGCTAATGGATAGATCAAGGAGCAGTTTGAGAAGCAGCAATGTGTGATGCAGTTTAATGTTTTATTGTACACAACTCAAATGAGATATAGATATATATAAAGCCCCGAGCCAAGATCTTAAGTAGCTGCTAATAGTTTCATGTGAGACTGACTAGGCACCTATGGAGATACAGTTTTAAGAGACCTGAGATTCACCTTTTGAATATTCAGGATTTTCTGAAAACCAGGAACTTCTACTAAGATGTATGTTCAACACCCAAATCTACTAGTAATCGCTGTTCAAGCCCCCTTTGAGTTAGAGTGGCTTTGGGAGTTTTATTTCTCTCAGTCTGTTGTTATGATGTGTCCTTGCTGATTCACAGTGCCTGAGTAATGCAAGAAGCCTATTTTAGGCAATGGGTAATTTAGTCGGTGATATTGCAACGCACTATTGTTGATTCATCTGCGCTATTTTCTAATGCATTGTGGAAAAAAATTGCAGCAATTTGCATGGGAGGAAGATCGTGTAACACCAGCCCTGTGGGACTAATTCAGCTCTGTTACACCAATGCAACCTCGCTGACATCCAGCAAGATTGCAGTGGTAAAACCGAGAGTGGAATTTGACCTTACGTTTCAAACAAGCTGCCCCTCAGCCTAGTTGTGTTTCAAGACTAGTTTCAGCTGCTACAAATAATCTTGTGTAAACTGCAGACCCTGTTGTAAGAAATGCTGCGCCAGTGTAACTCATTTTGCTTTAATTGGGAGAACAGTATTTCTCAGGCTTAAGCTATGCACTTGGTTAAAGTTTAATTTTGTGAATGCTGTGCATTGAGTTTTACAAAAAATAAATATTATGTTGTTAAGCAGCTGAAGCCTGAGAAGGGCTTTTTTTGGAGCTGATTTGAACAGTTCTGAAAACAGTGTCAATGCAGATCACTAAATGAGACTTTTTCTACTAGCTTTAATGCTTACATTTCTCTTGATAAAACAAAAGCAAACAATTTAATAGTGATTCATATTAATTTTTTTAAGGCTGAGTACAAGAAAGGAAGGGGAGAGATGAATAAGGAGCCTGCTGTACTTGGAAGACCAGATTTTGAACATGCTAAAGGAGTTTCAAAACTGTTAAGCCAAGTAAGATTCCCTGTCATTTTACAATGACTTCATTCAGATATCTTGTTCCTCGTAATGCAAGAAAATATTTTGATTTTTAGATTATTATCTCTAATTGCATGAAGATTATGTTCTCAAACTCTTTTCATAGAGTATTGCAATGACTGGTAAATTTAAGATTCTTACGAAACAGAATATAAATTTTTATGCAAAAATACAATGAACTTTTACTGTTACAACTCATCTTTTGTGGAGGTGGTGTATATTTATACAGATTACCTAGGATTTCTAAAATATTAACTGTATGTAATTTAGAGGCAAATTTTGCTACTCATTCAGTTTGAGTGGAACTTTACCCTGTGATTAATCCCACTGAAATAACCAGGGTCTTTTGTATAACTGCTTGCTAATGTGAGTAATGGGATCTGAATTTGGCCTGACATGTAAACCACCCGCCTTCCCTCCCCCTGAAACTGAACCTTTTATGTACTACTTTCTGTTATATATTAACCTCAAAAAAAAAAAAAAAAAAAAAAGGACAAAAAAAGAAGAAAAATGGAGGAATTACTTTAGTCCACAACTAAAAAGAAAGCTGAAAACACAAATATTCCCTCTTTTCACCTTATGAGCCTTCTGCTCATAAGATCTACTCATAAGACTCTACTACAGACCAGCCTGACATCGTGAGAAGGAATTTTTGACTGCTGACTTTTTTTTTTTTTTCCTTTTTATTTCATTTTTTCTGGGCTAGTTCTTTAACAGTGCCTTGCATAATCCTTGCTTGCAATCCTGTCAGGCTACACTTAGAGCTTTTGTAAACCCAGGAAAAAATTCTGCCCTCCTGTAGAAGGAGGATGACTCCTTTAATTGGAGAAGGCTGTGTCAGTCTTCACAGAACTAGAAAAAAACCCGCAGGTGTAGTAGTGTATACACTAGAACAGTCTGAAAATCAGTGTTGTGTAACAGATACTTGTGATTTGGCTAGATCGTAAACATCTTCCCTAGAACCAGGATAAAGTGAGAATAATGTGTCATAGAGAACAAGCTGCGAAACAGTCCAGTTTGTCTGCTTGCAAGAGGTTGAGCTCCTTTTACTGTCGCCAAAGGTTGTTCTTAGATATTTGCTACATGATTTCCTGTTTCACACTGGACCGTCATTAACTTTGAAGCACTAGTACTGCACAAAGGGAAGAAGAAGAAAGTACATGTTTTTTTATTGCTTTGTTAATGGCGTGTTTGGAATCAAAATTAGTTTGTGTTTTCCAAACAGATTTCTTTCTTCCGTTTTGTCATGGATCATGTGCTCATTCCTCTGCTGATGGGCGAGTCTGCTAAGAGATTCTTTTGTGTTTAGCATCGTGCAGGCTTGGAAGTCAACCTGTGCTTTCTAGGAAGAACTAGTGTTATGCTGCTGTCACTTAGAGGAAAGGGAGCTGTCTGTCATTTAGCAAACATCTTTAGTGGTTTTTAAAAGGGTTCATATCTAAATTTAGTGTGTGGTATCCTTTATTTGTATTCAGTGGCTGTCTACAGACTCCTTTCCTTGCAGCCTATTTCAGAATCTAGTGGGCTTGCAGCTGCCTCTTGTTGCAAACGGGACCAAAGCGGATCCCTTTCCAATTGCCCTCTCCATCTCGCTAAGCCTGGTACCCTTGAGGTTGTGGCCAACAATTGCAACAATCAAAAAATACCAGCTGGGTCATGGGGTCCTGCAAGCCGGTGCTGAGCCAGCTGCATCACAGGCTTCATCAATGCACTTTTTATCTCATTTTTATTAGATGTGCTTTTCTTCTTGGACAATGCATGCTGCATCTGCAAAAGCTTTGTAACAGAGTCTCTTCACTGCCAGGGACTGGGATGGCAGCAGTTCCAGTTGAGATCCTTCTGCAGAAGAGAGCATTTGGTGTGCAATTTTAACTTCTTTAGAGAGTCCGAACAGTGCAGAAGGTGTGGCAGGAAGAGAGGAGCAATTGCCAAAATGTAGCTTGCTTCCAGTTTATTTGTGAAGAAGATTCTTACTAAGCCTTGGTGGTCCAAACTCTGCAGCCACTGGGCCTGGATCCAAGTTTTGAGATCTTTCCTTCTCTTGCCCTCTCCTCAGTCTACACCGTTGTGGCCACCCACAGGGCGTGTGATGGGCCCCGTACTTTTAGACGGGGAGGCAGTTGCTTCAGCCGGACCCTGCTGCCAGCCGCCGGCCTGGGGGCTGTGGGTGCCGAGCCGCTTCCAGCAGCGGGGAGGTGCACTCGGCAATCCCCCACCTCCTCTGAAGGGAGGGCAGTGGCCATGAGTTGTCTAATGTTTTTATATATTATTTGAATCATTATAACACTTAGACACACTGATCATAAATCAAGAGCACAGAAGAATGAAGATGACCCCCGTGTCCAAGGAGCAGGGTGGTGGGGCAGGATGAGGAATGCACCTGTGCTGTAGGGGAGGAAGAGCCCTAAATGCAGGTCAGTCATGTCAGTCCTCTTCATACAGGGATCGTGAAACAGGCTTGCAACAATTACAAGATTTAAAAATTAGTCAAGTTAATGATCCCTTTATTGTCTCCAGACTTTCTGGCTTTTAGGCTTTCCATTTGTTTCTCAGCAAATGGGAGCATTATAAACTTTTTGTGCTGAAAGTTGATAATCTCCCTTAAATAGCATGAATCTATAAGCTGCGACATGCAGAGAAATATTAGTTATTTGACCCTCACAGTAAATTTGCAAAGTTGACAATTCTGATGGATGTAATGGGAAGAGAAGATGATAACATGTTTTAATGTGGTGCATATGGGTAGGTAATTTAGGGAGTATAGAGAACAGGAGCAAGAGGAGGTCAGGCAGTGTGGGTGTAACGAAGGGAGAAAGCAATCAAGGCAAGCAGGAAGGCAAACAAAGTGAAGAAAATAGTGTTAATGTTTGACTGGCACTCGAGGCTCTACAAAATCAGTGTTGTTCCCCTCTCCTCCCTTTTTTTCCCCTTTAAAAAAAAAGTTTTATTTAACAAAGCTTTTGACAACAGCAGCAGCAAAAATAATAGCTCCAGGACTAGTGTATTTACCCACAGCATGCGGTAACCCCTTTCTGTTGATTTTAAACCAAATTTAAAACAGAAACTGTGTTAGCTCTTGTGAAAACATGAAGCTTGTCAATTTGCTGAATGTACCTTGTATAATTTGGGTTATTTTTTGTATTTTTTTATTAAAAAACAAGCGCTTGTTTATGTCTTCTTTATGTCATCTAAAGCATTTTATTACCTTTTTCAAAGAGCTGCTGATATAAAGTATTCCCTTTATGGTGTTCAATAATTGGTTTTATGATGAATAATTTTGTATTTTTTTTTTTTATGCTGGATCTGGTGCTTATTGTTTCAGGGATAAAATTGTTAGTGGTAGAATGTTTTTCAAAATGTACCTTCTCTGAGATTTTCAGTAAAAACACACAGAGCCTAGGATTTCCTCAGTCTTTCTTTGCTTTAAACTCTGCTAGTGCTTTTAGCAACCAATATTTTAATTTAGCTCTTTGTTTATGTTACACTTCCTTCAATATCTATGTGCTCTGACACGTTTTTCATTTTTTTAAAATATGTTTTCATATGGTCATGAGGAAATGCTTTAGCTGCAAGTGCCTGCTTCATCCTGGGATCCCAGTGGTTGAATGATTCAATTTTTGTAGTTTCTTTGTAAGTCTGAACAGTGGGTGATGTCATCCACTTCTGAAACTGAACACTCCCTGTGTGAACAGCTTTGAACTACAGATTTGATTTAGGAATGTTGCTGCAAAGCTTCAAAAGACACTGCTCTGTCCAGCTGCAATTCTGACTTTTATAGGTTTTGTGCAAGGCCAATGAGAAGTTTGTTTATCCAGGCCTTATTTAATTCCAGTGTGGTGTTTCGGGGGTGCTGTTGTGTTAAAATCCTGCAAAGTCTGCTCTTTCTTCAGCAACAATTAGAGAGCAGTCGACATGCATTTCTTTTAAATTGACCCCTGATACATACTCTCTAAAAAAATAAACAAACTTAAGACTTTTAATTAAGATGATAAATAAGTAGCCATCGTTTTAAACCTTCATTAAAGTAAAGCTTTTCGTTAACGATGAAATTTGTACATAAGCTTCTGTCATTTCTACTCCCACTTTTTGTTTGCTCTTCCACCATGTTAAAGCACTGCTAAGACCTCCCCCTTCAGATGTTTTAGAAAACACCAATGAGGTATTTTTCTTCCTCGTTTTCAATCAGAACCCTTTCTCTCAGGCGTATTTTTCCCCTTTAAACTGCATTCATAACTTTCTCCTGTTCAAAAGAAGGATAAATACCGTGTGCATTACTTCGCAGTGACTCATCCATGGGCTTGCTCTTCTCTCTTCTCCCTCTCCCGCCCCATGCCTTCTTTCAAAAGGGGGAAGGAAACAGGAAAATACCGATAAAAGAGAAAGTGAATGTGTGTGTAGCTTTCAATGAGATGAATCCCCGATGACAAGTCAGAGTTAAATTACTGCTGGAAGTGCTCTTGAGATACCGCCAGGGTCATCTGATATTATTGTGCCGCCTCCATTTTGCCCCAGAGCGACATGTGCGGTGGTGTTGGAGGAGAGCGAAGGCAATAAGCAGAGCAACCAGCCAGACGAGGCAGCAGGGCCTAGAGGTACCAAGACATCCCTCATGGCAACAGGAGCATTTACAGTTGGATTGGTGGGCGGTCTCCATAAATTTGGGACCCTCCTGCACTTCGACATCAGGACACACAACCCGGTGAAGACTGGGTTCACTGGCTCCCCCTCTTTCCTTCAGTAGCAGTGGTGACATCTGGAGTGATGCTAACGAGGATTTATTACTGGAATCTCTAGATTGAAATGTATTGCTAAAAAAACCTTTTTAAAAAATGGTATGAAACGCTGCAGCTGGAAGATGGCAAGCCAGTTGTGCGGAGAGGTCCCTTTGGCACTGATGGCTTCACACTTAACAAGAGTATCAAGGACCATGTTGTGCATTTGGTCGGCGTGCACAGTTTGAGGCCATTTGTTGGCCAGGCAGAAGACAGCCTGCAGAAGTTGGATATTTAAACTATTGTGCATGACGTCATTATGATGTGAGCTGATGCCCAAGGAGTAAAAGATAATTTTGCTCATGATGCTGACTTGATCCCTGGTTTTGGAGGCTTTTAAATCCCGTATTCCAGCACTGCCTGATCTTTATTAGAAGGCAAATTTTGGATACACCTTTTAAAAGAGAAAAGCCCTCTGATTTATTCCTGTACTGCTTGTACCGAATGTGGATTTGCCTTTGACAAAAGCAGTGTCTTTGTATTCAGATATATGCTTTTGCACTTGATCCAAAGCCAAGGCAAATACCAAACGATATGAACCAGATGAATCTACCAGAAGGCAGTAGATATTATTTTCTAGGGTTAGTGTGAAAGATTATGAAGTTCATCATGTGTTCAGATAAAGTTTCTCTTTGAAAATGACAATGTTTTAGAATTTCCTTCCTTTGAAAAAGTAACGTAAGTCCTGGAATCATAATGTAGTTCTTGAACATATATGGTTAGTTTCTGTTTGGGTGGCTTAGTTTTGGTTTCTTGTTATCCTGACTAATGAAATATTGGGCGTTGTGGCTAAACATAATGAGGTTGCGTAAGCTAAACCATGTTGAGAGCCTTTTGAGGCAAGGAAAAACTAAAAAGGAGAAAGAAAATTCTTCCCACAACTAAAGCTGAGAAAAAAATAATTTTGGAAGGAAATTGTTTGAGGTGGTTTAACCACTTTATCAGACATTCATGTGGGAACAGAGAAAAAAGAAGTAAGGAAAAAGCCGTGTATTTATTTAATGCAGAGCGTGGTAAATTATAATGGATGTCGCATAGGCTTAGATATCAGGTGTCTGACTAACATTCATGAAAGCAGCACAATTCAGACTGAACTTTATTCTCCTCCATCATGCTCAGCTGTTGGAAAGAAGCAAGGCATGTGTGCAAAGTCTCCAGATGTTTGATTATCATGTACAACAAGGCAGGCAAAGGAGGGAGATTTACTATTTGCTCGATTTCATTTTTTCAGGTTGCGAATTCAGATCTTCAGCACATTTTATGGAATTTTTGTGATTTATTTACTTTTAATACCATTGTCTCAGCATTTATTTATTGCTCATTTTGTCTTACGTGTCTTGTCATTCCCCTTTTTTCTTTTGAACAAGAAGAAAAGAGAGTGAAAGAGGTGGCAGACAGTCATTTAATTATGCTTTCTAACACTGTAATGAGGTGGGCATTGTCCGCAAGAAGGGACTGTACTACAGAGAGGTTCCTGGGGGGTCTCTTGGGAAATTTCTGGCAGAATTAAAAACAGACCTGGGGGCTCTGGTGACAGCCTAGCACAGCAGAGGTGACAACATGGTCTGGGAGGTGGGAAGATAGCTGAGCAGGAAGCTTGATTGTGACTTGCCACTTTCAAGTGGTTGAAAATTTTACAAGTTTTACAATTCATTCATCTTATATTTTTTTCATTAAAACCACATTTTTGATATTAATTATGAATTGAATGATTTTCAGCAAGTAGACTATTATTGCTAGTTAAACAGTTCTCGTTTATTTGGTTACTCAGGTGAGTCATATGGTTTTGTTTCTGTTCCCTTTTTATAAATCCTTCAGCACCAATAATAGCATATGACAATGTTAAAATTATTTTTTTATTTTAGTAAAATTCAGATACTTTGAAACTAGCACAAGACAGTCACAGGTGTGGTTAAATTGATCTTCTTTAAACATTTTCATTGTTTAAAGATTTATGGATAAGGCAATTTTCTTTAATAAGCTCCTTTGTAGTCTGAATTCTTTGTGCCCTCTTTAAGTGCTACATGTTAATATTAGCTATGTTTGTTCTGGTGGAAGGTGAAATACAAAGAACAGTTCAATAAGGAAATGAAGAGCCACCAATATAATCCTCTTGACAGTGCTTCCTTCAAGCAAGCACAGATTGCATCCACCTTGGCAAGTGACGTAAGTGGATTTGCTTTGTATTTTACATGCATTTACATCCTGAAAAACCTAGCATTTGTTCTCAAGCAGAACTTTTTTTCCATCTTATGAATTACTCTGAGCAGCAGTCTCTGCTATACAGTGTGTCTCTATAGCAGGTACAGCATGTTATCCATTTCTTCCTCTGCTTCTGATAAAGCTCGTCTCCAAGGGCCTGCAGAGTTTTTCATAATCATTTTAGATGAGTTTCAGCTCACTTAACATTGTGTGTTAAAAGGTATAACTACTTACTCTGAGCTAATCACCTTGTACTCGGTCCCTTTGTATTCGGGAAAGAAATAAATAGGTCTAGAAGGCAATTCCTCTGACCTGTTGTAGATGCTTGTCTTTAGAGGAGCAAGGCACTGGCATCTCTCCAGTGGCTGTAAAAGGAGGTTGCATGAGCAGCTCAGATTTGCATGCCTATCTTTTAGACTTCATTCTGCTGGTTGATCTTCTTAATGGTATTGCGAAGTAGAGCAGTCACTAAATTCAGCAATGAGTGCCTGCTGCTGAAGCCAGATTGGAGAAAACATCTAAATCGAGTGATAATGCTGTTGGGATGATATATTTAACAGTGTGTCTAGTGCTAAAAATGTGAACTCTTCCTTGAGGCCATGATCCCAGATAACCAAGAGACAAGCCTTCATTCCGTAGGCCGGCATTTCCAAAGTGTGGGGCACCACCCAAGGCGAACAGGAGAGGCCAGCTCTGGGAAAGGTCCAACAGAATATGTAATTTTTTCCAAAATCTAAATGTTTAGTAAAAAATTCATTGAAGTAATAATTATTATGAAAGATGCAAATTGAGTGTTGTTGATTTGAAGTCTGCCTAAATCAGTGAAGAACACTATACATATGTGGAGGTGATTAAAGGTATTGGTTTAAAAAATTTTTCATCCAAGACAGGTAAGATGCCTAGTTTTCTTTCTGTAAAGACAGGCATCCAGCTATCGGAAGTATGGAAAATCGTACTGTAGGCTGATAGGAAGTTATCTTCTGCTACTTCCTAAGTGATTATCTTTTGCCTTGGATGACTATATTGAGTGCTTTTGCTGAAAGCAATCTGTATTAAAATATTCAGGACTTGAATATTTGACTGTTTTATATAAAACTTTTTTATTTGGACAGTTAGTGTAATTCCTGAATCAAGAGAAAGAGAACAGAGTTAAGTGTTTAAAATGAGTAAACTCAAAGTATTGAAGAAGATACTCTTGATTTAAGTTTTCGGGGGGGGGGGGGGGAAGAAAAAAAAGAAATAATAATAATTCCTTTCTAGTCTGAAAAGTCATACACAGTGTGATTTTGTTGTAAGTGTCCTTTTTGAGGAAAAGTTCGAGTAGTTCCTAAATACTTCCTTAGTAGAATGAACCCTTTGTTGATTTTGCCTTTTCCTCCAAATAATAGTAAATGACCACCATCTAGTGGCTGCTAGAGATTGTTCAGGCAAGCACTTAATGCTTTCTATTTCTGGACGGCCACACTAACACAAATATGTATTATTTTGTTAATATTTAATTTACATAATCTGAATTCTCCTTCCAGGTGAGTTACAAGAAGGATTTGGAAAGCCTACATGATCCAGCCTCTGATCTACCAAACCTACTATATTTAAACCATGCTTTAAATATCAGCAAAATGCATAGTGATGTAAGTTGCCTTTGTATAAAAGATCTGAAAAATATATGTAGTAAGGAATGTAGTATGTATAGTCACTGTGGAATACATAAAATTTTGGTACTTGCTTCATGGTCTCATATGTAGTAGACTGTAGTTTTGTAACCATAGTAGCCAGGGTAATGAAGTAAAAAGGGCTGAAGTAATGAAGAAAAAAGGGCTTTTAGGGAGAGATAGTTAAGTTTTTAGAATGACTAATATACTGAGTAAGAATCACACAGACTTCTGGTACTTGAGCGTTTCTTCTTACACGACTGAAACCTGGTCTGTTTTTTCCTTTGTTGATCGAAGATATTTTTTTCTTTGCAAATCTCGTTTTGCCTAAGATTATACTTACTGCTTTCATCTGCAGTTCTCTGTACAGAAGTGACCATTATGCTAGTTTAATATTTGGACCTCTGCCATAAACAGCCTCTTGAGTGCTAGCTTCCCTTAAAGCTTCTCTGTCTAAGCCTTTTTCCCCCTCCTAAATGTCTGAGGCTTCCTACACTGGATTGGGTAATAGGCACATACTCCATTCTGCCATGTAACAAGACATGGCCCTTGATGGGGCTGGTGGTCTGACACAGGGTACTGATGGGGGTTGAAATGGGGAGTAAGGGGTAGGACACCCCTGGCTTCTGTGCAATGCTGAAGCTTCTCTCCTGCTCCAGGAACACCTCTGCTACATGGGTGATGCTTGTAGGCTCTTTAGCTTCATGTGTCATCTTTACTCTAGAAACCACAGAAGGGCCCCAGCACCACTGTGGAAAGGCGTGAGTGGGTGGTGTTGGGAAGGAGGATTGCTCATGGTCAGTAAGAGGTGAGCGCTTCACACACGAAGAGTTAGCCCTAATGACTAGTAGCATATTGGGTCATCTTCTAAGTCAGTGCCTGCTTATGGAAGCTTATATCTAAAATAATAAAAATAATCCAGCCTTCCTGTCTGTACTTGATTTTTGTGTTGCTCTTTAGTGAATTGAAGCTTGCTTTTTGTCTGTCTCATTCCATTATGTGAAGCTAACACTGACTGTCCCCTTTTGTATGGGTAATAAATGGGTTGATAACTTTCATTTCCTGCATTCTTCATGTGCATTTTGGCCTAATTCTAGTTTCCTTCAGCATAGGGTAAGATTGGCATTCTTTTTGCTGGTTAAATGAGCACCCTCAGAGTGAACTTCATCAATTTGTCATATTATCTCTAATGAGTTAGAAGACTTTTCCTTAAAGCTCCTCATTTCTTGCAAAATTTATTTCTTTCTATTGCCTAGCAAGGGTTGATTCATATTGTCTATGCCCTTTTCTGAGGGCTCCATAAATACTAAGTTGCTGATTTTCGCATTGTCCAGATGCTGGTGGTTATTCTTTCTGCAAGCAGGAGGAAGAATGCTTTGTCAATCCCTAAGGTCTCCACTAGCTATTTGTCGTCTACAGAAATCCCGTGATCAAAATCCTTCTCATGTTTGACCTCCTCATGTTATCTCCTTCATTTTAACACGGCTTAATCTCCTCCCTTTCTCCATGCTTCTCCAGTACCTTCTTTGTGTTCTCCTCCCTGCCTCTCCACAGCACCAAATCTTTCTGAAAGTCTTCTTCCACTGTATGAAACAGTCTTCCTGACTGCTTTTAACTGATTTCCAAAGACTGATTGCATGGTCTGTTTTTTTCCCTTTTGAAACAGAGCTTCTTGCCACTTGCCCAATTTTGCTGTTTCCCTAGAGTATACCTTTCTCCCTTCAACTTCATGCTTCTCTTCATCTTTTGCATAACATAGCTACACCTGCCCTGGTGTGATAAATTGTAACCTGTTTTCTTAATTAAACTCATAAACTAATATGATTGATTGAATTGGTTTGCTGATTGACCTAGAGTGTGTGCAACTTTATGAAACACATAGACTATAATACCAATGCAAGGCAGTTATACAAGTCAGCTTCCATGGGAATATATTCCAACAATTAAGAGGAAAGCTTGATGGGCATGTTTGGACACAAAGAGATTGATTTTGACAGGTTGAACTCATCCTATTTTCATTACTATGATGAGGAACAGAGTTCACAAGGTGGAACTTTCCCCTCTTTTGGTATACAAGTAATTCTCTTTGGCATGAACTTTGGACACAGAAAATTTAAAACTTTGATATATGTACAACAGCTAGTTTATTGTTTTGCACATTTTAAATCTGTTCTTATTGTAGAGATTTTGAGATGCTAATGAACTAAAGGCTAAAAAAGAAAGGAACTTAGATATGTTTCATTTTATGAAAGAAGGTGAATAAATAGGACTTAAGAGACTGAATTTGGTGCCTGTAGTTTAATGTAGCAGAAGATTATGATTTACCTCATTTGATTTTACAGTATTATTTAAGATATTGTTCCATTAGTTAAGGAATGGAGTAAAAGTATGAGGTCAGTATCTGTAAATGGAGATAATTTTTCTTTCCACTACAGAAGTGATTTTGTTGTGTGACTTTTATAATTATTTCCACTAGGAGGCAAACCCAGACCATCATATGTGTTCCTTTGCACTTCAAATGTAAAAATAATGTTTATTTTCTAGCGAACATAAACATTTGACTTTTGGATGAGTAGGACAAACATTTTCTCTAGGGACTTACAAAATTTATTTTTTATCATGTCCTTTTTTTCATTTCATCACGCTATTTTAAATGAAAATTTAGCAGTAGAATTCCTGAGTTGGGAGGCCTAAAATATAGTTTCTTTTATGCTGTTTTTCCCATAGTTATTTTAAATGGTATTTTAATTGCAAACCCTTCTGGAATTTGTTTGTGAAAACATTCTTGGATATTTTTTGTTTCAGTATGAATATAAGAAATCATTTAAACAAAGCAAGGGCTTCTATCATTTCACCCCGGATACAGCTGAACAAATCCATCACAAAGAAAATGCAGTGCTTCAAAGTCAGGTATACACAATTATAAATATGTCTTGCAAAGAGAAAAATGCAGCATTCTAACAGTGATTAAATTAGACACAAAACTGCATGACAAATTGCAGTAATGTACAGTATATATTCAATCAGAAGCACCCCGTGAGTGTTTTTGCAGGACCCGAACCTAGTGCAGAAGCCTGACGGGGAAAGAGCTTCTTAATACTTTTCTCAAATTCAGACATCACCATTTTTGAAGAGGCAAATAAATTAAAATGGCATTACTCATTTTGAATATCATATTTTGATTTGTAGCTATTTGCTTTCCTTTATGGCTTCTGTAGGATATTCAATCATATCCCACACTGATTAAGTAATCTGTTTGCCCATCTTCATCAAAAGCGTGTGAATGAATGAGTTCAGAAAGCTTCTTCAGATTTCCAAACAAAGCGTATTTGCTTTGTGAGTTGGCATAAAGCATAATGTTGGTGTCTTAACCCTGCGTCCTTCACTGTGATTTTGCTGCTAGCTTTAAGGTCATGGTCATTGGTAGCTGTGAAGGGAATGTTGGTGCAAGACTGGACACTACCAAGGCAGTAGTTTTCCTTCTCTTTTACCTCCCACAGGTACAAACAAAAGTGCATTTTGGAATGATGCTCCTGAGCCTGAAAGAGAGACCTGCAGGGCCTGTCCATGAAACAGATTTTGTTGTTGTTACAGTAAAGGTGGTGTTTAATGGAAACATGACAGGGAATCCTCGTGAAAAGCTGATCATTCAGCCAAAATAATGCAATTAGTTTAAGGGTTGTGATTGATGCTCCTCAATCCCGCTGTCTTCAGAGTTCACCATTTTTAGGTCTGACATTTTGAAGCAAAGGAATAAATGACTCCAGAAAAAATTTCCTTGTCTAGCTGCCCTATTTCTCCAACAGCTTAAATCTGGGAGGAGTCTTCCAAGTCAAAACCTCTAAAGAGTATGGCTAAGACAGGATTTGTCTGTCGCTGTGGCAAGCAATCAGATCTTACATTCTCTCAGCTGTTAACAGCCTTTATTTTCATTTTCCTAGGTCAAGTACAAAGAGAATTATGAAAAATCTAAAGGCAGATCAATGCTGGAGTTTGTGGATACACCAATGTATCAAGTTTCAAAGGAGGCCCAAAAGATGCAAAGTGAGGTTAGTAAAAATGTGTGCTTGAACTAGCAAAACTTAGATCAACAGAGAGGCTAACAGACATCTTGTACTCAGGTTAAGAAAATGGATGAAGCACATCAAAAAGGTTTTATTAATTGAGGATATGGTGGAATTAGTACTGAGTAGTTCTCTTTGCTATTCTGTAGCTCAGTTCTTCCTTCAGATTTGTTTTTTCTCAAAAGGTCATTGGTGCTAACACTAGACAGAGATTGCATGTAGCATCACTTAATTGAGAGGAAGCTCAAGAGGTCATCTACATCAGAGGTTACTAATTTTTTTTACCTTTTGCCTTTAATTCCATCTTTAATGAGGGAGGGTTCTCAAGTGGGAGCGAGTGAAGCCACAAAGCCCAGTCTGACCATGTGCCTTAACTGAAACTTGCTTCTGCCTGTTCAGCCTGGGGAGCTCAGCAAGGGGGAAGGACTGTTCCCAGGCTCCAGAACAGCACGGACTATCCTATGTCAGGCCATATTTTTCTAACTTTTTATTAAAAGCTTCTAATGGTGGAGGTTTCATGACCTCCCAGGCAATCTAGTCCAGTGCTTTACCATCCATCTTAAGAGAGAGATTTCCCCGTGTCTCCCTTGCTGCAGTTTGATTCCATTATTTTTGCTGTGTGTCATGGAAAACAGATGATTTCATCCTCTTGGTAGAAAGTCTTTAAAACCATTACCTTGTGTGCCATTTGTCTTCTCTTTTCTCTACCAAGCAAACTGTTTTTTTCAAAGATCAGGTTAAACATTTTCTTTGGAAATACCATACAAATGTATTTTTGTCTAAGCTTTGTGTGTCTTGTATAGGTAATCTAGGTAATGAAATGAGTAATAAAGTTGCTAATTAATGTGATCACTAAGTTATGGCGTAGCTCATTTCTGGGTCTGTTTACAGTGTTCTTTCTGAAATATGCTTGGAAATGCACATGTGTGTACCTCTAATTGTTGGTTTTGCTTCAATAGAAAATGTATCGCAAAGATTTTGAAGAAGGCATCAAGGGAAGACCCTCAATGGATTTAGACAAGACCCCAGAGTTCTTGCATTTAAAACAAGTCACTAACCTTCTGAAAGAGGTAGAGGATTTTTATTTCTTTTTTTTGTTGTTAAGCTGTAAACGAGCAATAAGCAGTGTCACTACAAGCTACTGAGTGCTGAACAATTTACAGTTAACTTTGTAGCTAAATACAAATGTGACTTCATGAGTAAAAATTGTGGCGTGACATTTTATATTCTGAATAATCCTGCAGTAAGAATCGATACTTTTTGAAGTTTCCTTATGAACATAAGGAAATGATAAAGCTCAGCACACCTGAACCAGAAAAACAGAGTTAAATGAAAAAATCAGATGACTCCATAGAAAATGGATCATTGGCAGGACATTCCCTCTGAGGGCCTCAGTTTTAGAATTTGTTCCTCCCCTGGGCTCAGATAGCCCAAATTTGGTGACCTTCCGGGCATGCTGTAAAAGACATCTGTTTGATAGGGTTTTGGAGAGGACTTGGAGTTTTCTTTCCAGATAGATGAAGGTGTGGAAAGGAGGATTTTCTGTTGGTGTCCAGATGACACTTTCGCCTTTTGAGTAAATATTTCAGGTTTCTGATAGTCTGTGTTGGTTATATGGATGCCTTGAGCTGTCTGTAGTCACTTTTAACTAATTTAATTAAAATAATTATCTATTATACATGTTATGGATAAAAATAAAGATGACTGACATTCCATAATATAGCTGTGATATTACATAATCTGCTTTAAGCAAATTTTTTTAGAAGGTGCAGTTTTTCTGTATGCCCACTGTTTCTTTAAGATTTGTCCAGTGTTCTTCAGTTGTATGTGGCATTATAAATTAAATCACTTTTTCTCTGTAACTGAGAATCCTTCTACCTTTAGTCTTTTTATATTGTTATTGAAAATTGTTTTCATATTAGGTTTTGAGTATTGCTTGGCTCTACAGATTAGGTTTACATTTGACCAAATTTAGAATTAAATGTATCAGCAAAATTCATAGTTAGAAATATCAGAGCTGCTAGATATCCTTCATTTGAATTTGGGAGCCAACAGTACCTTGTTTATATTTATTGTATTAAGAATTTATGTTTTTGCTGTGGTCCAGATGAACAAGTCGGGGATGCTAGAATTTAAAACCCTTGGACCTTGTTCCTTTACTTGTTCTTTAAACAACTTATCCCAGTCTATGCTAGATTTAATATGGGCAAAGAAAAGATTTTCTTTTCAGATCTTCCTTTATTATTCATCCTCTAATAAATAATTTATTCCAGTAAGCTTGGATGTCAGGTAGACAAGTCTCAAGCTAGGTCTAGTTTGGGCAGTACCATTCTGTGTGTACCTGTCTCATGTATGCCAACTGACTAGGGAAAAATGCAAATTCTTGCATTTCATTGAGTTAATCTTGCTGCATGCTGAATGTCCACAGGAGTGCATAGTTGCAGATGTGCTGTAAATGTTTATCTTTGAAAACTTTGATGTAACTTCCCTCCATAATGCTACATGCATTAAGATGTTCCTTCATTCTTACCTCCTCAAGTTTTATGACTCATCACTTCGGGAGTAAACCATGCTTGTAAGCCAGAGGGGAAGAATGTGAGAAAATGGAAATGGTATTTTAATGCATAACTGCATTAATTTAATATGACTTTATTTCCACAGCGACGGAACAGATTCCAACACCAAAGATTACATAGATCAAATTAATTATTATCTTTCAAGATGCAGCAAAACTATGTATTTCTTCATAGTCAAGGATGTAGCTCAGTATTTTTGCATGAAGGTTCAAACTAAACTTTAGATAGATACTGCATGAGACAAGAAAGAGAACCTGGAATTATTAAAAAATGAATTATTTGTTAAATTACTTTCTTTTTACTTTTTAATTTTTTTTAAGTGTCAGCTGTGTTCCAGCTTATTCTGTTGCCTTCCCACTGTAGAGAATTCTGCAAATATTTCACAATTTGTAATAATGAGAACTTTCTTCTCTGGAACCACATTCACAACTCCTTCAGAAGAGACAGCTGAATTTAATAACTCTAAATTAATAAAAGTTGTTTTGTGCTTGTTTTAGGACATGCCTCTGATGATAAAGAGAAGAAGCTTTAAAAATACCTGGTTTCCTTTTGTTTTAATAAAGAACTTATACAGAGACAAAGGTGCTCACTGCTGCTTATGAAATTTAATATGTGATTAGGAGTGTTAATTCATGTCTGTACAAATGGTTCTTTTCTTCAGTTTTTTTCTAGTTTCTTTGCTTAAGAAAGCCTAACCCATACCTGGAGATAGGAAGAACGATTAAAAATCCTTAAAAACTTACAAAGATCTTGAACGCCAGTAGGCTTACATCAACTCTCTAGGGATTCAAAAGAGGAAAAAGAACCAAATGTACATGGGCAGGTTCTAGTGTGCTTTTAATTTTTTTACTGTACATTTGCATACTCTGGAGGCTGCAGTTGCTAAATGTTGATAGATGATATCAATGCAGTGTCTGAGGGGCACAGAAGTGATATGGTAAGAGTATTGCTTCTACATTATAATTTATCAAGCAGTCATTTTAACAGGTCCTAGTATAGTGTTCAGGGCATCCGTAGTGATTGTGATGCCATTAGTGGAACAGCGGTAAAAACTACAGCACAGCATATATTGGTCTGTAAAAGCAAAAGCTACTGCAGTTTTGAAATATCTATAGAGAGAGGCAGCTGAGGCCCCTAAACAATGTGCTAGTGGTGAATAGGGGAGGACTATTTTGCAAGAGGACAACAGGAAAATACGTGACTACATTAATACCTTTTCACTTTTTCAACATTGTACCTTTTGATTTCATAATTTCCAATTCTATTTTAACTCTGAAACCTGTACTTCAGCTAATTCATATTTCACAGAAATTTCAAAGAGACCCTTCAGACATTTAATAAGTAGTGTTTCTTTTCAAGATCTTTCTGTGGAGAAATCTCTCTCTTTTTTTTAATCCTTAGAAAGAATATAGAAAAGATTTGGAAGAAGGGATGAAAGGAAAAGGAATGACAGTGTTTGAAGATACACCAGATTTGATTAGAGTGAAAAATGCAGCTCAGATACTAAACGAGGTATGTTATGCTAGTCAAGGTTATTGATGTCACAGAAAGTTCACTCTTTATGTTATACTTGACTGAAAATATTCCCTTTTTTTTTTCCATAATCTACAGTGAACTACGTAAGTATTGAAAACTAAGGCTATTTCTGTTTTGCTTTAAGAATATGGAAAAGCTCTGGAAAAAAACCCCCAAAACTTATGACAAATATTTCAGATTTTCAGGCAATTAAAACGTCAATGGAAATTGTTAGTGGGGTCAGTATATATAGCATTTAAAACTGGGTTAATTTTTCCATCTATTTATTTGTTCAGCTGGTATAATTAATACTGTAATGGAAAAAGAGTTGACTGTTAACGGACTTGTAAAGAAAAGTCAGTGAAATAATTTTGAGCTTTTTGGAAGTACTTGTACCTGCAAGCTCAAAATAAATATTGTTAATGACTGCCAGGCATCTCAGGAAGATCTTCTATCCAAACAAACTATTCTACTTGTGAAAACCTTTTTCCAAAAATAGAGTTGCTCCTGAAGAAATGGATTTTCTTGAGCTTGAGGTTCATCCAATGCAAATAGACATTTTGCAAATAGACCTCCAAGGGTGGAGGCTGCTTCCAGAGTGTATTTTTAGGACTGAATTTTGGTATTAGCTGTGTTGGTCTAAGTTGCTCTGGAGGTTATGTGGAAGCACATAAGTGTGCGATCTACTCAGTTGTGAAGGGCTGGGAGTGGAAGTGGAAGACTCCCTGATCTGTGTACTGTCTCTTGAAGACCACCCTGAAGAACTTATGTGCTTGGCAAGCCCATGAGCTCAGCAGAGCTGCAAGATCCAAATCTGGCACTGCCGCAGCTCCTGTGGATGAGCTTGCATGGGCTGCCTGGGAAGCAGCGGTGGGGCTGGAGGATGTGGGGATGGAAGAGGGAAGGCAAAGCTCATTCTGCACTTCATGCACTTGGGGAACCTTTCTTTCAGAGTAATATATATATTTTATATATA